ATCCACACCTATTGCTCCAGTGAGTCATTCCATGATATCATTATCATGTACGAGGAGTACATTCGCGTACAGGTTCATATTCCACCCGAACCATCTATACTCCCAACATCAAATGTTTCTGTAGTTGTTATCCGTTTCACGATCGATTTCATTCATTCCCAAAATTTTCACCTGCAGTGTAGGAGCCGACCCATACTAGGAGTGGCTATGTGTCGACTCTCCATTCTAGGGGCTTCTCTGAGGCTCAACTGAGTCAATAATCACCAATTCATCCGCAGGCTCAACTGAAAAAAAAGGAGCGCCACCGTCTGAGATTCTCAATTCAGATTGCCTCGTTGGCCCATCGCATATCGCAACATGGCCGGACGGGTGTAGTACTTTTATGTAATTGCTCAACGCATAGCAATAGATGCGTTGTTTTCAACTCTTCTAACGGAGTCTCCTTTATGAAATCGGACTTCTTCCATTGCTCGATAGCAGCTTTGAAAATGCCCCTACTAGCCCTACTGGCCATGTGTTTCCGTCGGGAATTCCCCGACCACTCCTCGAACGTGGTACACGGATGAACACAATGAATGATTACGGAGTGAACTAAGCTTTAGCTAGCTGGTAGCTAGCTAGTAGTTAGCATAGCGATCACAGCTAGGGCCTGTTGACTTCTGACAGTTAACCAGTCGAGTTGAGAGCTCACATAGCATTCAGGCAAGGGCTGCAAGTATTAGACATCGCGTTAGTTCGAAATTCCTCAAGGTAAGAGCAGCGATGGTAGTCTAACAGCTGAGTAGTGTTGAACCAGGCTGTAGCTGCTACATAGCGTACACTATAGTCGCCACTATGTTGCCACTGTGGTGCATGGCGTCATGCCATTGGCATGCACTGCATGAGTCCTCGTCCATTGTGCGTCCATTCATCTCTGCGAACTCTGCATTCGACGTCACGCTAGTGAGCATACATCCATCCCGAATGCTCCGCGAGATCACTCTTCTCTTACTTAAAGCCCCGTCTCAAATAGGCTATTTGAAATAGCCATACAGTACTAATAGTGGCCACGAGGTCAATGGCCTCAAATTGCCTATACTTTCATTGAATGTGCATGATTCACGCATATGCCATGTGCAGCCCAATGATTCGTGCAGCATGGACCGCTCCATGACCACCTCCGAGGAGAGAACTTGTCGAACCAGTTTGAATCTTCCTCACCGCTTCTCCGAACTAAGGCGACGGGAATAGCAGTGTCAGAATATAGACTCGCTCAGTTGGAATATAGACTCTCTCAGACTTCATATTCACCTAGCCTCGCTCAGTTGTCACGCATGTCCTTGTTATTAATTAGACTGTTACGTTGACTGCTCTCTATCTATGCACGCTTCGCCGAGAGAGAGTAAACATACCCAAAAGGCTGGTCGGATGTCATTGTCCTTCTACGCACAATTGTCGTATACAGAGACCAGTGGTCTCTGTACCCTGTGTGACACACATACATTGTGATACATTGTGGTCTCAGGCCACAATGTATGCACGATGAAGTCCGTCTGAGGGCACGCACAAGTGACATTGTAGGTCCCACTTGTTCCGCAAGGGTGCAACTTGCACCATGGTGCTTGCACCGTGCAAGCACGAGTACTGCTCATAGCAGTACACTGGGCAGCCTCATGGTTGGCAACATTTTTCGTTGAGCGATAAAGCTGCGTGATATGAACACGGCATTCGGATTCCTTCTGACGACGCGCTACGTCAACTTCAAACGATATGGGGTGCTCAAGTGCGTCGCTCTGGTGATGGAAGCTGGTCAGGTCGAGCGGGCTCACAACAGAACGACGCCCTTCTTATTTACCTCCGGCTGATATAAAATCAGTCATTGACAAAACGGCGGAGCTCGTTGCTAAGCATGGCGATGAGTTCGAGACGAAGGTTATGGTCCAGCAGGCTAAGCAGGCCAAGTTCGCATTCTTGACGCGTGGGAACCCTCATCGGAGGTAGTAGTAGAGGTGGTGATGGAAAGCGGCGTTCATGCTCGTTATGGTCGTTGCGGTACTAGCCCTAGATGACCACTACTTCTACAGTATGAGCAGCCTTGTTTGTGACCCTTTGTCAAGGGCGTGTTGGTGAGGTTATTGTACGCCGATCGCCCTCGGAACGGACGTAGCGATACCGTGGGCAGAGGCCGTGTCTTATTAATCATTGACTATTTAATTTGTATCCTCTGACCTGCCGGAGCGGCGAAGGCCATGCTTACAGGTACTACGAACACCGAGTGGCGGAGCTGAGAGGGGGTGTGCAAGGCGAATCAGGCCCGGTCATGCCCAAGGAGCTGGTGGACTACAAGAAGCAGGAGGTAAGCTTATCGGCTGGTAGCGGCTCTACGGGATCAGCGAAGCCGAGAAAAAGCTCTGCGTGCCGTCTTGTACACGAAGGGTGGCAAGGAGAAGGTTTCTGTACACCCCTTTGTCCCGGAGTGTTCATCTAAGTGAGGGGTACTTAGCGCTAAAAACATAAAAACTCGTTAGTGAGTGCGCGTACCAAGTCTTGACACAGGAGAAAAGTTTTTCGGCTGAAAGTGTTCCTCCAGAGTTTAACATTCTCTTGGGGCACAATTCTACTATTATGAGTTAGTAACTCAGAGTTACAAGGCCATCGGAGATTGATGGTCGGGAGGAGAAGCGTCGGAAGCGGGAGGAGCGGAAGACGTTGATGGACGGCCTTGCGAAGGAGGTTAAGCCGCCACCACCGGACGTCTACACGGTGGACCATCCATTCGTCGCCCCTATTGATATGGACATTATCAAGATTACAGCACAGTTCACGGCTAGGAACGGCAATAGGTTCCTTCAGGTAGGAGTTTGGGAGTGCGCGTGGAGTTGAAAGGCAGCGCGTGGTGGGTGATCGGGGAGTGGTAGCAGGGCAAGTAATATTATTCGCGAAAACGTGAGCGGTCCACCGGGCAGGGTCAGGGGAAAAGTGCATTCGATCCCGGTGCCTAGTATTGTCCAGCTGGCTCAATGGCAGAGTATGATGGTTGAGAAATCGACGAGGAAGGGCTGAGCTAGAGATTAGGATCGATTCTGTGGCTAGTATTTTTTCTAGAAAGGCTGGAAGTCCCCTACCGGATGAGGGGAATGGTCGGTGTAGTTGGAGCGGTGAATCAGGCAGTAGCCTCTGATCGCAGCAAACTAGAAGGCGGTGGTCGCCACTCTCCAGTACTGCCCAAAAAAAGTGGAAAGAGAGGCTTATTCTCCCTTCTCCCGGGAACATAGCGAGGAAGAAAGCGTTCTTGCCCGCTGGGCCCCCAGGATTCAAAATCACTCTAAATCGGATCCGCGGTCTTAGGCTAAGACCGGTCTTAGGACAATCTCACAGCAATGCTAAGACTCTTAGCATTGCTGTCGGATTGTATGGATCGGCTGCCGGTGTCGTATTATAGCGCATTACGTATTATCGGGCGTGTTGCCCGACTCCAAAATTTCTCTGGGTCAACTCGCTGGTCTGGAGCATCGCTGGAGGATTGTGTAGATCGGGTGCAAATCGCCCTGGAAAATGACGTAAGCCAAAGTTGGCGGGGTGGCCAGTGGGCGATTGGCAGCAAGGCCTTGAGGCGATCTGTCCCTCTGTATGTTTATCGGCAGCTCGTCGTACGCTGGGACTCCCAGCGTATGGCGACGGCTGGGAAGTACGTTGTAGTACAACGGTTGTACTTCTCAGCCTGGGAGGGTACCGGTAGCAATATGAATAGTCTATCGCTATATCAGGGACCTGGTTCGGGTAGACTATTCGACACCTCACTGTTGTTCCTCTCGTGCTGGAGCTCGATATTTGACGGATGTTCGCTAACCCACTGAACAACTCGAGTTGAAGGCATAGGTAGGCGGAAACAGATAGCATGATAATGGATATCCGAGTTTTGGTCACCAGGCATTGGATTGCCCTGGACGAAAAAACGGCGATCGAAGATGGACAACCCCCTGGAGGTTAGTTGTTGCACGTGAAACGAATCATCTACGAGCTCGCAATTGCTGCAGCACAATTCGAAACGATATCGGTAATAAGAATCCCAGATCCTTCGCGATGTCCCAAAATGAGAAATAAAAAATATTTTAATAAGGCCAGCTGGGGATGTCACGCACCCCTACTCGATCGTATCACGGAATATGATCGGTAAGGCAGGAGATAATGATTATCACTTTTTCTGAGAAATACTGTCGCACAGATGAAAAGAAAGAGAGTTGGGTATCTCATGATGGCCCTGTTGAGGTGGACTATGACCGACCTCTCAGCTCGCAAAGCTTCCCTTCGGAAGATGAACTTCTCGTTGTGAGTCGAGGCTCGCTCGACTGTCGAGCGCTGTCAGCATGAAATTCCACCTTTTTCAAAGAGTAAAAATTTTACACCACTTGGGACTGCGCATCTCGATTAGAGGCACTCCTGCGGCAGGAGTCCTGCCTCGACCACGCATGCACTCGGCGCCTAGTGGGGTGCGACCCTCTTGAACTCGATCCTTTTCTTTTGGAAGTTGGTCGTGATAGTGCTTGTAGAGGTTAGTACTGTAAGATCCCACTCTTGGCTAGGATCAGATGGGTAGACCTTGTCAGACTCCATTAGGCCAGTGTTTCTGAGGAAGCGGTCGAGCTCCACACGCCAATGATTCCCGCCGGGCCCAGGCTTCCCGAAGTCGAGATAGTAAGTGAAACCAGTAGCACTTCGTAGAAAGTACGGGCCAAGGGAAATAGAAGCAGGTTTCGGTATATCACCCCTATGATGCGGAGGCTTAGGCACGTAGATCGAGAATGTAACTTCATGATCCATGTTCACATCGTAAGTCATACTGAAGAGAGGTCCCTTGTAGACATACTTACCCGGCGGCAGGGTAGACATCACCCGCATAAACCTGAGCTCTCTCTTCCGGAAGCTCGTGGTGATAGAGTTCTTGCCGTGGTAGGTCAAGGTAACCAAGTCCCCAGGCTGGATCTCCGCCAGAGGGTTGAGGTCTTCGGGCTCAACAAGGTGAGCGTGTGCTAGCAAGAACTTGATTCTGTTGTACCAGTCATCAAAGCCCAGAGAATGCTCGTCCTGGAGGATGTACACAGAGCTCGCCTTCTCCCGCTAACGGGAACGGCCACGCGACGTAGCAAGCACCGGGACTGAACGAGTAATTCACAGACTGGCTACTGGGACGCCTTGTTTCGGGTTCGCACTCAGCGTGAAGGCAAAATCGAGTTTGTGGTCCTCGTACACATAGTAAGTCATAGTGAAGTCTC